AAAAGAAAGCATCATGATGATGCATTATTACCCAACAAAATGCAATGAAATCCTATTATTTACATCTATATACAATTAGAAAAAATATACTAACGGGAAAAGATAAGAATCTGCAGGATGATGATAACCTCCAAAGGCTAAAATATTTCACGAAGGATGAGAAAATATCGATAAATTTAGAAGATGGATTATCAGATCGATATTATGGACAGGAAAAATTGGAGCTAAATAAAGGAATTGATGAATTAAATAATGTATTTCCTCAAGACTATTTATGTTTACAGTCAATTCTTTTCATTTCAGAGATCACCAGCTAATATACTTTAATTGCTTCTTTAAATCAAAATTCATGGGATCCTTTATAAGGAAATCAGAATCGACCAAAACATGAAGAAAATTAACAAAGTTTTTGAAGATTTCAAGAACAATTATCAAGATCCTCTAGCAAAGGGTGGAATAATGGATCTGACACCAAAGAGCCACTTTTCAAAAAAACTTCACGCAGATCTTTACAAATCATTTCTTCTATCGTTGGAACATTTTGATAATTTAATCCCTGAGGAAACCCATGATTTTCTCGTCAAATTTTTTGGTCAGGTAAAGGATATGTCATATTTACAATGGTCCGATGCTGTTGATGATCTTAATCCAAAAAGCTTCAAAGAGGATGTCACGAAAATGACAATAAAAATAATCAAAAGAACATTTGATAATTTGTACATATTTCTTGTGTTATTATATGTTGTTATAACTTACAAATTTCTCCTACTCACCTGTAAAAAAAATTTTTTTACTTTTGTTGTTCTCAGTCTTCAAGCATTTTCTCTAGGACATATGAATCCTCTTCTAAATTTGGAAACGCTAGAACAGCCATATTTAAACGATTATGTCCATCCTTGCTTAAAATCTGCCCTCTGGAATTGTGCTAACGTATTTTATGTTTAGTAAGTTTATTTTTTGCATCTATCTTAAATGTTCTAATGAGTTTATAAAGCTAAATTTTTGTTAAAAATTAATAGTGGTGAGATTCCATCAATTCACCATGTGAAAGGACAAAGGGGGGACGGAGTAGGATTAACAATTGATGCCAACAAATATGAAATAGCTTACATGGAAGGAAGCCGTTCCGCAAAAGTCAAAAATAGCAAGGAATCAGATGATCGGCTCAAGATTGCTTTCAATTTGAGAAAAATGTTTTTTGATATAGTAAATGATAGAGTTGAAAAACGGAAAATCATTGTACCTGAAATGAAAGTTTTTGGGGGTGCTAACTTCAAGCTGGACATACATTTATATCTCCTTGATTTTGTTAGTAGGTAATTTTCTAATTTAATAATGCAAATTGTTTTATCATGAGGCATCATTTAAATATTACTATTACATGATGGATAGGCTGTTATCGTCTAATTGAGGTAGACAATGCGGCTGTGCCTTGAGATTTTACTGAAATTAAAGAGTTTATGTTCTTTTATGAAGCGATCATAAAATGGGCAGTAAGTGTTTAAATTCAGGTATTGAACTGGATTTCTGATTGATTCTGTTTCTTTTATTCATAGCTTTTAGTAGGGAAGTACCAAAAAACCCTTTCAGAAAATTCAACAAAACAATCCTCACGTTTATCGTACGGAATGAACATCAGATCTTTAAGAGGATCATAAAAATATTTTTCAGTAAATAAAAACTGTTGGATTTCGGTGTTGATTTCAATATTTTATATGTAGTACTTTTAGGCTTCAATTTTCTGATCAACCCTTGTCACTGATAGAATTTCTTTCAATAAAAACCTCCGATTCATATAACTTGCATTTGTTGTCAAATTACGGGGCATGTTCTGCATTCGTAAATTTGACAATTTGTTACCCCCCTTCTAAATTACCTGAGGGGAGTAAGGTTAAAGAATGTGAAGGTCATCATTTACTGCGGTATTAGTCAAGAAGTTTACTAGTCTTTTTTTTTTAAAAAAAAACGATCAGTATTTAATAATAGGATTTCATTGCATTTTGTTGGGTAATAATGCATCATCATGATGCTTTCTTTTTCCAACATTTATTATTTTTCTTTCTTGGTAAATTTCATAAGTAATCCTTTCTTTTCTTAGATAAACTTCCAGTGTATGAGTATTGTTTATTTTGAAAATGTAAGGAGCAAGTTTTTCACCTTGTTCCTTCTTCAAAATACTTCTAATGGTGCTGTAATTTTTAGCATAATGGACACTCATTTTGTGCAACAGTCATTTGTATAATAGTCAGGCGGTTACACAGAGCCCGTTGCTTCTGAAACTTCACTAGAATATAGCTGTAGCCTCTCTAAGTCCAGATCATCAGCAAGATCAAAATTATCTCACACTTTTATAATCAAACTTTTGCAAGAACTTTCACCATAACATATGTTATGTTGATCATTTTTTTGTGATCTGCAACAGTGTCCACTATGCTAATGAAAACAATGTGTTTTTATTATAAATGCACATGAATCCTCTTCTAAATTTGGAAACGCTAGAACAGCCATATTTAAACGATTAGGACAAAAGATTTTAACAATCGAAATTCGCAAATGGCTTTTTTTTCTTTTAATTAAGAAAAAAAAAGCTTAGATGATTTTTTTAACAATTGAAATTTATTCTTTTATGGCGATGTAGGCTTGAAAAAACATCTGATCGATCAAATTGACCTTTAGTCTGTGATAAAAATAAATGAACACAAAGAAAAGATCAAAACAAAAGATTTTTTTTTTAAAACAATCAAATTTGTAAAGCTTATCCTTCTATGGTGATGTAGGCTTGAAAAAAAATCTGATCGATCAAATTGACCTTTGATCTGGGATGTATAAATAAATAAATGAATAAAAAACAAACCAATTCTCCTTTCGAATCTTTTTTACTTGCATAGTATTTCTTTAATTTTGATTATTTGTTATGTCATCTATCTTGTCGTCAACCATGTTCATCAAGTCAGCCAGTGGGGCACATACGGTGACTGGAGTGGCTGTGTGCTGTGTAGAAGAACGCGAACATGTGGAGGTCAACTACAAAGCGTTCAGAATGAACCCCGCCGACAACAACATGGTCCATCGAATCTAAAAAAAATAAAATTAAACAGAAAAATTAAACTGTTAAATACAAGATGTACATATCAGCCGATTTGGTTTTTCGGGCCTTTTTTCAAACCTTATGTCTTATTATGTCTTGATGTTAAGCACGAGTATTTTAATGTGTAAATTGGTCAGTAGAATGATAATTAACCCTAAAAAAAAATTTGCTCCACTAAAAAAAACTATTTTACTATTCAACAACTCGTCAAACCAATGGCCCCACCTCAAAACCAATGGGTTTTTGCTAGTATAAAGTATTCATAACGTTATGATCATACCG